TGATTCGTGTTATTTCTCTAATGTGCAGATTTGAGCTTTCTAGTATCCCTTATAATAAATCTCTTTGCTTCTACTTTTTACCTATTATTATATAAATGAAGGTATATGATTTGAGACGGGTGTGACATTTCAGTAGCAATTCCAGAAAATTATGAAGAACAGGAATTATATGGGGCACCTGAGAAAACCTGTGTTAACCAGTATTGGATAATAAATTTGATTCTGCCGGTTACGGGTTGGTTTTTTTCTTGACTTCTTTCTTCAGCAGGTTGTAGAGCATGGGTGCTGCCCTGTCCTGGGGTTTGCCAGTGTCTCTCTTTTGATCCTCTTGTTCTATGAAGAACCTTAAGTTTTTCTCGTACGAAAAAACCCTAAATATGTCCTGATGCAGATTTTCTCTTTCAGATTATGCTTCATCTTTTTGCAATCCCTACAGAGGCTATGGTTTTGCTCTTTTCTTCGAAAATGTTTTGCTTTTGCAGAGAGCATCAAGGGGGAAATATTTCTATAGCCCGTTTCATTAAGGAAGTTGGAGTAGAGCTTGAATACAGACGAGGAGAGCTTTTCGGGTGGCTCAGCTGGTCCTGCCTGACCACCTGTAGGAAGGGAGAGTTTGAAAAACAACTAAGAGAAGGTGATGCCCATCAGTCGCACTTCTGAGTCTGCTGTCAGAAATCCAGAGAGAACCAACATAGCTTGAGTTGGGAGGATGGAAAACCAGGAAGGCTTCTAAAGTTAAAATGTAGCAGGAGACTTCAAACTATTTCTTTTGGCTTCCCTTTCTCTGACTTACAAATTTCTGTTAAACTAATGTGGTTTCACAAAGGTTTGCTTTCAGAATCTGGAACTAGCTTCAAATAAAGCTTGAGGCTTTCCCACTGATAAATTTGTCAGACAATATTTGTGAGGGCTTTTTTTTTCCCTCTTTCTTCTGTATATTAACATAGAAAAGTAAATACAGTTTATATTCACTAGGAAGATGCCCAATTGAAAATATTAATATATATTTTAGTATATTACTGTGTATACAATTGTAAACATATCCACAGTTTAAAGTCTAAATTACACACATCACTAAAATGCTACATAATTAAATATATATACTTTGTAGTATCTCTCTCAGGAGTACTTCTATTTTATTTAAATTTTTTTCTCTCTCTAGGCTAAACTCTTAAATGAGCAGACCTAATAATTATTTCATGTGCGTGAAGTTTATTCCGCTGTAATTTACATAAAATATGCTTGATCCCTGGTAGCCATATTTATAAGGATGGGACCAGTTTCTAATTCAACGCTGTCTCTCGAGTGGAGAATTCCCTGTGTGGAGGTGAAGCCATGGGAGCCCCTTTCCACCCCGCTCACTTCCTCCGCCGGCACAAGGCTGTATTTCTCTTTCCATACTAAACCTCCGCTCTGCTTTAGCCGCCGTGCCCGTAGGATGCCTGGTAACGCTTTCCTGGTGTTTTACATCTGAACAGGGGCATCGCTGTTCTAGGAGACGGCATCGCTGGAAGGTGCGAGATCAGGGAACCGGCTCCTGCTCTCCGTGTTAGTGGCCGCAGTGGAAAAATGTAGCGGCTGTGGTTAGTCACAGGGTAATACCAGCGATTCCCATGGGGCTAGAAAAAAGGCTTCTGAGAGGCTTGGCAAGGTTGGGCCTCTGCAGCTATTTTCCTAACCCCTAACATTCAAAAATCATTAATCTAGTGTAGAAATAATAAACTCTCTGTGCTTCTGATTTGTTTGTAGGGCCCCCAGTGAACCTAAAAAGATAGGAGAAGTAAAAAAAGGAAAGTAAACTTTACATTTTTGCACCACTACTTAACTCCAGCAGCTGGAACTGTCAAGAAAAACAAAAAATACCAACTCACGATAAATGCATGAGTGTTGCTGGCACTAGAAATTCGTGTATCAGTAGTTGTTTTTTTCCAGCTTTCCTGCAACAAATTTTTGTTCTCAGCCCCACATGATGTATCGCTGAAGAAAAGATTGGCATTTCAAGACCTTCCCCATGCCTGTCTGTCAGGACGACACCGCTGACAGGGTTTGCACTTACTTTTTCTGTATGTGCTGATAGAGTCTTCTCAGTGTTCTTCATGATAATTTACTGCACAGCTTAACATTATCAGTAGCTGCAGTTTATAGCACTGATGTAAGTTACTTCTGGTCCTACTCGGAGGCTGTCTGAGGCCACGGTTTCCTATACAATGCCTCTTAAATAAACGTATAGGCACCTGTGGCCTGAATGTGTAGCCTCTTCTAAGCTGTCCGGCCACTTAACTTCTTACAAAATTAAGTTACAGATCCAATTACGAAGTCCATAATTTTGGAGCACTTGTGATTTATAAAGCTTTTTGGATGCCTAACCAATTGTCACGAGCAGTGTAGTGTATGTTGTCACCCTCACTGGGAGGGGCAGGTAGGCAACATTGTGTCTGAAGAGCATTTTCGTATTTTCTCCATTTGGTACACTTTTTCCTTGAGCATCACTGTGTTTATGGATCCCACGAAGGCGTTAGGCCCTCTGTGCATAGAGGGTGTCGAAGGGAAAAGAAAATGAGGAGGTGGAATGGCCATGAGGGACAGCTGATGATGGAACGGAAGCGGTCAGGGATCAAAGGATCAAAATGGAGAAACAGGGAGCCAGAGGGGAAAGCAGCCGCCCTCAGGGACTGGATGTCAGGCTTGAGGGATCCTTGGTCTGAGCTGGTATGGCAGCTTCTATGTTGATTACTATTAGAGTAATTAAAAACTTTCTCCTTCATATAAAACCTCGCCTGTGTGCATAAAAGAGAACAGTTGGGTTTACAGATGTCTTGGTGGTGGTTTGCATGAACTCCGTGGTTCTAAGAGTGAAAAAAATCTTCAACAAATGTTTCGTGTTATGTGAAAAATAATTGGTAAAAGCAATCATTGTAAACCAGTGAAACCTGAAAATACAGTGTCGTGAATGTGCTTGCGCACCCTTGCCGTACCATATCTGCAGCCCCTCCGTTTCTAGCACATAGAGTATAATCCCATCTTCCCCAATACTCACGGCTGAAGCCGTGAGGGGATGAAAGCAGAAGCTAGTGTCCGTATCCGTTATAATATTTTGCAGTGTGAAACCAGGGATCACTTTATGCTACCAGGAACAGATGGAAAACAAATATCATTGCCGAGTTTTTATTAAAAGCTCAACCCTATTTTTAGAATCTGTTATAGTTGTTTCACAATTTTTAGAACATGTTTTCAGTATTGTATCCTCGTATGGGTACCAACTCTGCTATTTTGTAGTATGGGAAAGATCTTTCAGTTTTTTTCTGTTACATCTAATCTCTGCTTCTTGACAAAAGAAGAAGAAAAAAAGGAAATCCCACTGCAGTCCTCAGTCCAAACCAGAAATACTGATTTTGTATCCTGGTGACTTTAAGTGGCAGGGGAGGCATTAATAGTTATTTCTCGCGTATTTATTTCTACCAGATTATGCTTATCAAAGTGACTTAAAATTATTCTATTAGTTGCAGCAGTCCATCTTCAGAACAATTTTGTTTTGTCATTATTCACAATGGTGTTATATTGTGTATGAACACACCCTAAGAAGACAGCTAAGATTTTTATGACTCTTCTTTCATGAAAGCAAGAAACCATAGAAATCTAGGATGAGACAGCCTGAGTGACCAAAACTTTATTGCCAGCGGGTGATGGCTGGTAGGAGAACACCCAGGGGCTCTCAGAAGCAGTTCCTTTACATCTAAGCAGTGTATATTCACTCTGACCTTCTAACCTCCGCTAAAGAAAGAGTTCAGAGGAAATTTGGCTGCAGTATTGCAGATCTACAGGTAGTGGAAAATACTGTACATTTGGATACATTTTAATTTGTATGACCAATGCTTTAATTTTCACTGAGGGTGATTTTCCAAAGGCCTTTTGCTCCATCTGCACATGATATTTTCAGTAATTCCTACAATGAATCTTCTTGTGGTTTATTGTTGTAGAAGGAATAAATTCTTGTTATCATAATTTAAGTGTGCTTTCATGTTTATTAAAACAGTCTATTGTGTAATATTAAAAATAAAAAATCTTTAATGGTTTTTAATATTCTAGATTACAATATAACCCTAGCTTTTACATAATTGCTTGGAAAAAAATAAAAGAATGTTTTGAGTATAGAACTAGCAACAAAAAATTACTTGTTTCATTAACTTATAATGTAAAATGTGTATTTTGTATAGGTTTTTTAATTACTTCTCACTTAAACACCGATATCATTCTTGGAATAGAAAAATTAATACAGTCCATTACTTGATAGGAATTTTAAACCCCCTTTATCTGAAAGTTCCAGTATGTATGAATATCCCTTACGTTTGGACTCGGGTATGATCTGTGATACTGTATATAACATACTGCAATATCTGGCATTACGCTCCAGAAACCTTAAATCATTATTTTCTTGCCTGTAATTTTCAGATACGGCACTTGAAATTGTATGTAGTTTTAATAACATATTGGTAAATAAGGCAGTATGAAAATTATGTGATAGTAAAAATGTGGGTGGAGGCATGGGAACAGAAATGAGACTGCTGTTTCTCAGTACTGAAACAGTAGATTGCGGACTTATGTTTTTCCTTCTAAATATAGCGATCGTGGAAAAGTCGTGCAGCTGTGAGCTTTGCATGCTCTTTTAGATCGGTCTCTTAATACACCTTGATCCTGGTTCTTGCTCATTGCACCTTCATGAGGAGTCCTTGTCTTTGCCCAGTGTTATGTTTTATAGTTTAGTAAAATGTCGAGCAGAGAAACAGCAGCAGTTATTTCATTTGTGTCATAAAAGTTCAACACTGAGAAGCAGATTTACTAGTTACGCATCTGTTGAATCATTATGGGGGACTATTTAATCTTATTTTCAGAATTGTTGCATTCTAACCATTTCACAGCTAGACTCAATACTTGGTGGGTTCTTATTGTATCACTTAAAGAGCACTGCTCTGTCATTTAATACCTAATTTTCTTTATTGCAGAAAAAGCAGCAGCAGCTAATGAAGATGAAGTGCAAAAAGCAGATGTATCATCGACGGGTCAGAGTGTCATTGACAAGGATGCACTTGGACCAATGATGCTTGAGGTGAAGAGCACAAAATTCCTTTATTTAAGCCAGTTCTGCCCTCCCTAGGATGAAGAACAGTGTGATGAAATGAAAAAGTGCAGTCGGATGTTGGCGTAAAAGAATGGTTGAGAGAGACAAGCCATCCTGGCTACTTAGGATTATGTCATATTTCTAGTGGATTCAGTGATGATAGTGTCTTTAACTTGGGGTGGGGAGAGGCAGAGGAAGATGATTCCAGTGCTTTGTAAAGCAGACAGCTCGAGGGGCTTCAGTTAGTAGCAAGTCTTGGGTGTCTGCATGTGCATGTTTTATTTGTTCTAAACCATGACAGATTTGGAAGACCTGTTGCACCTAAGCATTGACTTACAGATAAAGTAGTATACACGTGGATAATACTTCCTCTAAAATTGCTTGTCATTGCTATACAGTTTTAATGGTTTATCATTTTAGCACTTGCAGCAGGACTCTTCCCTCCAGAATATGAAAGTAATCTAGGAGAGCTTTTCAAGCCATGTATTTCAGTTCAGTTCAGTTTTCTATCTGGTTTTAGCTGTTATTTTGGTATCCCAAAAGGCTGCATGTTTAAAACCATCTAAATGCATTAATAGTAATGTTGGGTAGGTGTGTTATCTGGAATCCTAATGTCATGTGCTACTGTCCTTTGGCACTACTGCTCTGTCTGCTTAAGCTCACTTGCAAAGTGTTTATTCCTGTTCTGACTGTGGGCTTTTTCTGTAAGGAAGAATAAATGTTACTTTAGATAAAACGCAAACTCTGAATCAAGCTGAAGAAACTAACTTTGGCAGAAACATAATTATTCTGTCATTTCTGAATGTTGCAGGAGCAAGATGCATGTTATAACAGTTTTAAGTATTTGCATTATTTTTCATGATTTGTTAGATGGAAACATAGTTTCCTGTACTACATACAAAATAAAGGCTCCAAAATCACTGTACTAAACGTAAGGAAGATTAGTCAGGTTGGAGTGAAATAATTCTTCTTTGAAAAGCAAGGGTAACAAATTAATTGATTTAATTTAATATTTGTTATATGTGCTCATTGAATTGAGTATTGTTCTTTATGCTATCAAACAAGGTTAAACATTCATCTCTTACATTGCTATTTTAAAATTTATCTTTAACTTCCTATTAATTTAATTGTAAGGACCTGTTTTAATCACAGGAAAAATAAGGATAAGATGATTTTTTTTCCCTTATCTTGCATGATTGGCTGTTGCAGCAAACATGACATGTAAAATCACCCGTCTGTTCTGTTATTGCATGTAATTTAGTTTTCCTTTGCAGTAAAACTATTACATATTAACAGTGAAAGATTGTGGAACTAAATTAATAAACAGTGGTTCTTTTGCACCAAGAAACTTAAAAGGACCAAAAGTTGTTACATGTTTGCTGTGAAAAGACTTACAGATACTTTCTTTGTGTCTTTATCTCCTTAAGGAAATGCAATTAAGTTATTTCATCTTTACAGAATGCCTTTATACAACCTCTTCAAAAGCTTACCCTTTTCCATTGCCAAATAATAATAATAATAATGGCAATGCTGATGAACCATTTATTAGGTGGTTTGGTTTAGAAATGTAATTGTCTGTTTTTATTAAAGAATAAAACTGAAGAATCCTCAAAATAGTGAGTGTTTCCAGCTACAGTCAGTGAGTAAAATTCATCATGCAGCTGCTACTGAGGAATATTTTAACATATTTCTTGGTTAAAGCAGAAAGTAAATAGGGAGAGAGGGTGATGAAATAGTCAAGAGAGGGCTGACAGCAGCTCAAAGAACACGAATATATTTTCCGTTCCAGTATATCATCTAAAATTATACCTGTTCTCTTATTTTCTCTTCCAGCATGTTGTCGATTATTTGTTCCCCAGTTGTCCCAATAGCTCTGAAGAAGAGTGTGCTGGCCTTCATTACTGTTGTAGTTGTTCTTGTGGTGGCATACATCTGGGGGCAGAATTAAGAAATTACTGCAAAAGTGGAGACTTCTAAAAGATTTAAGTGGCTTGGTGCATTAACTTGCTTAGAAGCCTGCTGCTGCTTACCTACAAGATTATTTTATGAAAAGAAAAGAAAAGAAAAAAGAAAAGAAAAGAAAAGGAGAGACTGGCACATAAGGCCCTGAGTTACTCTAGGCTCGGATGACCACTTCTGTGGTCAACCCAAGAAGCAGCTGTGAGGAAACAGCACACAGCACTTCCTCGACAAAGAAGTTGCTGTAGTAGGAAGTAGTAGGGAAAACTGAAGATTACTGTGGGATGCCAGTAACTCTCATAATCTCATGCTTGCCATCTCTGCCTTTGAAAGTTTTCTCCTTAGGACTCCAATAAACATCTGCTATGGCTTTAGTTTTGCAGTCCCTTTGAATTGATGTAAGCATGGACCACTGCCAAGCAGAAGGGTTCAGCCAAACCCACACTCTTCTGCCGGCTGTAGATGCCATGTGGTGTCATGGTGGGCCAGTTTGGGGGACTGATGTGTTTAGCTTCTTTTCTTTTCTTTTTTTTTTTTTCTTTTTTCATGCAGTAGTTTTCGGCCAGCTCAGTTCTCTGGTCCAGTCCTTCATATCCTCAGATAGAACAGGGAGCTGTCATGGCATAGAGAGGATTAAACCAAAGAAGTCATGTTTGCGCTGGTTTCAAGCAGTGCTGAAATGCAGTCTAAGACACTAATCCATAGCAGAGATGCTGATAGAAAATTGTATTAGAGCCTCAATTAATTAAATCTTGTAAATCATTGTTAGTTAAACTAAATATTAGTCATTTTTGGAAAATGTCATCAATGTTATGAAAGCACATGGAAAGGAGGGAGCACTCCAAAGAAAGTGAATTAACAGGAGGGACCAAGAAGGATCAGAAGCAAAAAGAAGGCAATGATAAAAAACAAAGTCAGAGATTAGAATTTGTGACAATTAACAGGATAAAAAAGGACTTCGTTTATCTTAATTCAGAGGCAGTCAGGAAAAGTATATACTTGTACATTTATTTGTGGGGTTTACTATTTTGTAATTTAAAAATAGAACAAACAAAGTATTTGGCAACCATTGGCTTGGCCACTCTGCTTCTGCATTGTGCTTTCACTATCCCTCCCCTTTAGCAGGATCCGTTTGGGAAGGACCTTTGAGCTTGTGTAGTCCCACCTCCCACTGCGAGCAGGTCCGACTAGAGCATGTAGCTCAGGGACGAGTCCAGCTGAGGTTTGAATATCTCTGAGGGAGGAGATTTTACAGCCTCTTTGGGCAGCCTCTTCCCATATCTGACCACCTTCATGGTGAATTTTTTTTTTCTCCTTGTATCTCCATGAAGTTTCCTATGTTGCAACCTGTGTCTGTTGTCTCTTGCCCTTCTTTTGTGAACCTCTGAATAGAGCCTGGCTCTGTCTTCTCTTTAGCCTTCTGCTAGGTGGCTGAAGACAGGAACAAGATCCCTCCTTAGCCTTCTTTTTTGTACTGGCTGGATTTACTAACTGCTCAGTGGTGTGCAATATTTTTAATAAGTATCTGTAGCCTGAGGACTTGAGAACTGCCTACTACGACCAACACGCAAGTTGTACAGTATACGAGTTTGGTCATAGCAAAAGTGCCACATGCCTCTATACGCTTGCTATGGTAGCTCCTCCTTGTTAGGCTGTTTTGCAGTGGGCTGAGTTCAGGTTTAGCATGGATCCATTCGCTTTTAATTAACCCATAACAAATCATGGGTTGCGTGGGTTTTTTGACTTGTTTCTGTCCCTGGAGATGGAATAACTACTGTTCTAGTGTTCTAGTGATTTCCCACCAATCCTTAGGTGAATAAATCAGACAAAACTGCGGAGGTCTGTAAGGGTTAATTGTTAATTGAATGCTTAGACCAAAAGCTTTGGTGCTTTAATTTTAAATGTATCCCCCTTAGTCTGCTCATATGACATAAAGTTAGAGGGAGGTACTCTGAAGTATTTCTAGCATGCACAATCATGCTTGCATCTTCAGGAAAAGAAAGTTCTTTTGAAGTTCTTGCCTCTCTTGCATGAGAAGTTCCTACTGATACTCAATTTTTTCCTTTGTCCTCATCAGGTAGAAGTGATGTAGTATTTGACTTAGGTTTCAGATAACATACAGCAGATATCTTGGAAAGAATGCTTCAGCTAGGTTGAAACTGTAAGTCCTTTGGAATACCATGGAGCTGAGTTGAAGAGGTGAAAGTCTGGTTCCTGTTCCCTGGACCGTGTGTGGACTCAGTTAAACTGGTGGCAAATAAAAAAAGATTAAAGCAGTCCTGGGAATAGGGACTAAAGCTGTCCCATCTCCGCTGCCCACTGCCTGCTCTCAGCCCCCTTTACCCTTCTCTGCTTTTAACCCTTCACGTTACTGGCTGCATGGGGCCTCACTTCTGTGAAGATGTGTTCCTGGGGACACAGACAGAGCCTTTCTCTTTCTTTCTGCCAGTGTTTTCCTTGCCTTATGCCAGCACATCTTAAGATGTTTTCATGGGATCAGTCTCCCGGTGCTGCATAGAGGAGTGAACAGGCTCTAGATTTAGCAGAACAAGTTTCTGGTCCAGATTTTCCAACTTCATAGGCAGGCAGATAGGTAGCAACCTCTTCCATTATTTTTGTTTGTTTGTTTGGGACAGGGTGGTGGTGGTTTGTTTTCATATGTGGGTTTCATTTTTTTACAAGGGATGCGCCTTGCTCTGCTTTTACACTGGGTTGATGTAAGTAAGATCTGATGCTCGGTCTGAGATGTGTCCTTTGCTATTACAGACAAGAATATAGGAGCTGGGGTGGACACAGAAAGATTCAGCTATGTCTTCTGAAGGGAATATTTATTTTCTGTATATCTTGTTGTTAATCTGATTGTTTGTAATGTTTCTCTCTCTTTCTCTCTTTTTCTCTTTCTCTCTCCCTCTCCACTTTTTTTTTTTTCCCTTAGGCACTAGATGGGTTCTTCTTTGTAGTGAACCCAGAAGGTAATGTTGTGTTTGTTTCTGAGAATGTGACACAGTACCTAAGGTACAACCAAGAAGAGCTGATGAACACAAGCATATATAGCATTCTGCATGTAGGGGACCACAATGAATTTGTCAAAATCCTGCTGCCAAAATCTTTAGGTATATATACCTTTTCCTCTTCTCATACCATCACTTTCTTAACTTTGGTTTCATAAATCAGCATTTCAATAACTGAAGTTAATGTCCTTCCACTACTTACAGTTTCATCATATATACCCTTTTTAATGTATATATAGCCTGTATCAATGATTAATATTATTCTCAAAAGCATCCCCCACTCTTTTCAGATTATTCTTTGTTAAAATTACTCTTAGTAACTCATGTTGACTGATATTTTTAATGGATCTCCACTAAAAGACAGCATTAGCTATGTGAACTCTCTGATAGTTGTCCATCTAGGCTGGTTATTCTAAGAATGGCCCAAGAAAGGGGGAACATAAAAGAAAAAACCATGAAACTCCTTATGCTAGAATTTTTATTTCAATGTTTTCAGTCTCACCAATATTTACCCTTGTCTTTCAAAACCTGTTTTTGATAGTTGCAGCCATTTTTGGATTCATATTAATGTTGGTTTTAATGTCATTGGGTTTTGGAGGAGGTGAAAAGAAAGAGAAAGTCAATACTTGGGCATCTCATTTACTCACAGCAGTTTAAAAAGTATTATGCAATTCACTTTAGCGTTTTATGACTTTACTTATAAACCCCTGAAGAATCAAAAATGTAACACTTTTAATGGCTAAACCCCATAAATTACTGCCTTTATTGCATTTTATGACTGAAGAGGGCAAGTGAAGAGTATTTTAAATATGACCCTGCTATTTCCTTATGTGGTGTTACATTAATTCACTCTGACTGATGTCCAGAACCTATATTTGTGCATCTCAGGATTTTGTTTCCTTTTTTACTTGTCTTAAGCACTGTGTTAGGCTTTAGTTTTATCCATCACTGCATCCAGGTCATTGTCATCCCTTCAGTCTTTCCCGCTGTAGCTGGGACTATGTTCCCAATTGTATTACCCTGATTTTATAAATGCATTTTAGTTTCTTTTCTCTGTATTTCAAATCCAGACACAGATTTTTATATACTGCTTCTGTCTCTTTTGTATTAATCACTTTTAAATTCACTGAACAGATCCTACATACTGCCTTATTTCTTCCAGGCACATAAACTAACTTGATCTACCCAGTAGGCTTTTCCACTGTACTGTATAACTTTTACATGTACCAATATTTTGACTTTTATCCTGCTTTTCTACTATGTCATTATAAGTCACTTGAAAAAAATTAGCAGTGCTCTTAAAATCCGAGAATTTTATAAATTACCTTGTTATGTGCTGCTTTGGGGTCTAATATTAAAAATCAGTTGTTGTTGCTAAATGAGCTGTTTCCCGACCAGCCTGCAAAGCACCTTGATTAATTTCCTGTGGATAGGCAGCAGAAATGACTGCTACCAGATTTATCTCACTATATGATCTTTGCTTTGCTCAGTGAACGGGGGATCTTGGTCTGGTGACACTCCTAGGCGTAATAGCCATACCTTTAATTGTCGGATGCTGGTAAAACCTCTTGCTGATTCTGAAGAAGGCCATGATAACCAGGAAGCACATCAGAAATATGAAACTATGCAGTGCTTTGCTGTTTCTCAACCAAATTCCTTCAAGGAGGACGGCGAAGGTAATTACCACTATCAATTTGTGTTAGTATTTTCTCTTTCCATGCTGTTGCAGGACAGCAGTTTCAATGCAGTTGATAAAGTGAGGTAAAGTTCATAAAGTAGCTTCTAAATTCTGAAAAATGGAAAAAAATGTCAGGTTTTTTCATTTAACTGTAGAATGTACTGTCATCTTGGATTATGAGTGTATACACTTGCATGCAGCTATTTGTCAAACCAATATAATTGAAATTGAGAGTAACTCTGTTTACATTAAAGAGATATCCTAGTTTTCTATCACTGCAAGTGTAGCTGACTGGAAGGAAGGTTTCAATGGGCAATTTTTTGAGTTCTTAGAATTTCAAGACAATTGTGGTTCACCATTTCCTTTACCATTTACTACTTCAGCAGGTAAATTTCCTCAGATTGTATTTTAAGTATTCAGATAAGTAAAAATGGCTTTATTATGAAGCTGCTTTCTCAGGGACAGCAAGCATCTGGGGCATGTTTAAGAAATGTGGCTTAAAAGGTACAAAATGGTGAGTGTTGAAGAAATGTGCTTTCTGTGCATGCAGTATATTCTTTTTTATTACTTGTCTCCTGAGTAATTGAGCTGCTACAGGTATATGCATAAACATGTGCCAATAATTATGGGCTGTGGTAGAGTCCTTGATAATTTTTCTTCTAAAAAAAACCCAAACCCACCTCTCTTGTGAGTTTAATGTTGTAGGAAATAATGAAGATGTGAAACCACTGAGTTCTATCTTTCCTTTTATTGGTACAAAATCTATTCTTTCGGTCCAAAAAGATTTAAACAACTTTTTAAAAATACTTCTGAATTCTTTGTAGAAACAAAATTTTCCTCTTCTATACAAATTACTGAAGTAACATTTTTCTTTCAGATTTGCAGTCTTGCTTGATTTGTGTTGCAAGAAGAGCTCCAATGAAGGAAAGGCCACTTCTTCCTTCATCAGAGAGCTTTACTACTCGCCAGGATCTACAAGGTATTGTGAAATAGGAGGGTTTCATGTCTTGCCCCCCCAAAAAAAGGGAATATTGCTGTAACTGATGTTTTATCTAATATCAGGCAAAATAACTTCACTGGACACAAGTACCATGCGAGCAGCTATGAAACCTGGCTGGGAGGATTTGGTGAGAAGATGCATTCAGAGGTTCCATTCGCAGCACGAGGGAGAAATATCGTTTGCCAAGAGGCATCACCAGGAAGGTTAGGTTTCATATTTTTAGCACTTTCTATATTTAAACTGTTTGTCATTTGTACCTGTTGATTGTGTTCTCTTTGTTATGTTTACATGGAACAGTCAAGGGCTACTGACAGTTCCTTTTTCAGGCTGATCTGCCTAACACCCTGATGGCTCTCTCTAGAGAGGTTTCGTACCTTTCTCTGTGTTTGTTTTAGCCTACTTGTTATAACTGTGCCATATTGGAGGGTGCTTTAAATCTTCAAGTTGTCACAATTATTTTAAAAAGAAACATCCTTACCTGTTTCCCACCAAAACATTCACTACCCATTATTCTTCAGAACCTCAGCTCACAGATCGCAGTTCATTGACCTGTATTCCTTTTCTCTACAAAAATGGACTTTTACTGTCACATTTCCTGTGAGAAACACCCAGTGTGAATTATCTAAGATGCGCCACTCATGCAATCTGGTAACCTACATTGTTGTACTGTATCTAGCTGATAAGGGTTATAGGATACACCAGAAGCACATCTACTCAGTCAAGATTATGGTAGGTATGATGTAGGAGAGCACTGCACTGTGACAGGTTCCCCATGAGGTTTCTGTGGTAGTGACTGAGTGGGAATTTTTCTTTTCATAAAACCCTAATACTGCTAATTCTGGTAACACAGATCCAAATTAGTAAAAACAAATAACCCTTTATAGTCCACAGGAAAGTCCTGTCAAAACCAGTGGGGAATAACTGGAACATTTGCCATGCAGGAGTATCATTCTTTGGGTCCATGTGTGTAGAACAGGGTTTGCAGCTGGCCTGTAACAAATAGTTGCCATGGTCATTAAACAACTGGCACGCTGTCTTGGAAATTAAATTGTAACTGGAATCTCAAATTATTCTGCCACATACACGGTCACCAAAAAAAAAAAAAAAAAAAAAGCTTTAGTCATGTGGCATTAGTTAAACATTATTTAATACGTTCTGCTTTCATGAAAACTTCAGATTTCATGTTGGGAATGTAGGGTCATGGAAATACCGTGATATTTTATATAACTGCTTTTGGGGTATATACAGTAGGAATGCTAAAAGTTCACAGCCTTATGCTGTGATTTCAGACAGAGTTGAAGAAGGTAACATGCAATGAAAGTTAGAGCAGGGTTTTAGAGAGCAGTTTCAGGTAAGGACCTGTCTGTGCCGGAGGTGATTTAGGAGTTTCTGTTATGGCATCCAGCCACTTGTTACTTCAGTCCTCTTCAAGTGATTCCTGACCAAATCAGCAGCTCCGACATCCAGTGCCGAGGTTTGAGTGGGTCCTCTCTAAGCTATCTGTGAACTGATAAAAATATATGTAGTTTGGAGTTTACACTGTATCATTTTGCAGGAAAGGCTTAGGATAGTCATACAAACTGTAGAATTAGAGTAAATGGGGGGGGCTCTTTTCTTCCTGTGCCAGTGAAGAGAGTGAGTGATAAGAGGAGAAGGAAAAACCTCTGGAACTGCTTTGCTGCAAAGGATCCAGCACTGGAGAGGAATAATGGCTGAAATGCTTCCTTCCCCTGCCCTGCAGCATGGAGAAGAAAAACAAGGCACGTCTTGGGCAGTAGCATCTTTGCACTTGACTCGGGAACCCCTTGCATTTTTTAAGTCATGGTTTGAGAATAGAAGCAAAGAAAGTAACTGTCTCCTCCATGTAATTCAGTGTTACAGTGCGGGGAAAAATTGAGCAGTAGTTCGATAAACGATAAAAAACACAAAGCTTTCAAATTAACTCTCAGTATAAAGTGCAAAATATATGGTAAGTTTTTATTGGCCACAGTCAGAAAAATAGCATTTCCTCAAGAGGAATACGGAAACATTCTTGTTTGCTTAAAGAATTAGTTTGGAAAATGATTTAAGTAGAGATTTCACTTGTATCCTGTTGGCATTGAGTACTGGAATTTCCTGATGTGGTATATGCTAAAGTTAAGAGCTTTGGACCTTCTGGTGCCCAAAGGTTAAACTGAAACAATGACATACCTAACAGTGAAATTTTGCTTTGTATTGTTTCACAGTTGTAGGGTTTTGTTTTTCTTTACATTTTTACTCTGAAAAACCCCTTCTGGTTGTTTAAATTGTGCTTCCTGTTTTCTCACTGCCTAAATAATACTTTAAAACCTTGCAGAACAATATATAACAGTGGGGGGGACAGGGAAGGAAACCGATCATGACCAGTCCTGCCAGGCTGAAAATCTGGTAGCTCTGTAGAGGAGACTATTTAATAAAGCCACACTTGGAAAAGCGTGTCATTTCATTACAACAGGAAATATTAAACGACAAGCAATGAAATGAAGATCAGATTATACTATTAATATTTTGTTTAAAAAAGAAAGAAAACCAAAACCACAGAAAATGTGTATGTACAAAAAAATGGGAAATTAAAAGTATTTGTAGTACTTCATTCCTATTTTTTACCTAAACAATTATATGATAATTCTGAAGTTAAGTATTTCCCTCCTGCCATATCTGCAATCCTAATGTAATAGCTTTCGGACTAGGAATTGAAAATGATCAGACTTGGTTCATTGAGGGCAAAGAGGGAACAGTAGAATAAATGTTTGGAGATTTGCTTTTCCATAACATGATTTTCATTTTTAAATAAATGTCAGAGAATTGAATTTGTTGAAGTTCAGATTTACACTGAAAACTTAAAGGCTGCAGAATATGTGCAGTGAAGTAAACCCCAAACCTGAAATAGAGTCATATCTAGCACTTGGGAAGGATAGCTCAGCTCCAGTATTGGTTTAGGTAATTGTATTGGTAATTTGTTTGAGCTGCATTTTTTTGTATTTGTTCTTTAAAAAGTAATAATTTCTTGTTCCAGTTCTTCTTATTTCTAATTGTTCCCATGTAAGACATTTATGTACTTTTTAAATTAAAGAAGTGGTGATAGTAACTGTTACAAGATAATTTACGCAGACAATAAGGAGGAAAAGATACAGGCTAATGGAAACAGATGATGTAGAAACTAAAGGCATTTATATTAATTGTTGTGGTGTAGATGATACAGATGAAAAAATGTATGAGGAACAAAAGGAGTTAGGCACATATTAGATGAAAAGTGAAATGGACATCAAGGATTTCTTGGTTCACTCCTGAAATATTCTGTATTTCATAGTATCTGTCCTGTTACTGCTGTCACTCCTTGTAGGTTTTCTTTTGATCACCTTACAGTATGTGGGATCCTTTATTTTATATGCATCCTAACTATTTATTCTCAAAATATTTTTTTTTCATTTTTTTTTTTTTTACTTAATGCAGCACCTGTGGTATCAGTGCTGATGGATTTAGAACATCAGATGTTGAGCAACTAAGCTATCTGTACTACAGTTTCTCATCTATTTAATTCTGTTATTTTGCTTGCTTGCAGTACTAAGGCAGGGACTAGCGTTCAGTCCTGTTTATCGGTTTTCCTTGTCTGATGGCACTATCGTTTCTGCCCAAACGAAGAGCAAGCTCATCCGTTCTCAGACGACTAGTGAACCTCAGCTTGTAATCTCCTTGCATATGCTTCACAGGTAATCCTCAACGGTTTATTATGTCCACATGCTGCAGAGAGACAGGGAAAGTAAAAAGTTGCCAAAGCAAATAGATTGTTTAAGGCTGATAGATGTTCAGTTGACTTAGAACTGATAGCATGAAAACAAAGTAAGTTTTTAAATTCAATGCTTACAGCAGGAAAAGACTGTAAGATTATTTTGGGACTTACAGATGGCACGCTGGATTTTCACATCAAGATCTTCCATTAAACATACAAAATTTCCTTTAATCTCCTGTTTTTAATGTCCATATTTTAATTTCCTGTATTTTGCATAGTAGGCACAAGAAACTTTTCAATTAAAACTAGAAAAATTCGAAGGATTAAATTCCTGTAGTTCACAGTCAGTCATATGTTGGGCCTGGGTCGTCTTTAAAGAATATGTTAAGATTATGATTATTAGAACTGCATTTTAGACAAACTGCATATTTCAACTCTTCGACGCTTTTTTCGCTCTTCATTCCTTGTGTTTTGTGGTGCTTTGAGTAGTGGCTTTCACACGTCCAATCCTAAGAAATGCCACTGTTGTTCCTTTTAAAAAAAAAAAAAGATACAGGCAAAAATATGTTAAAGTCAAGGATAAGTAATCACTGACCTCAGAACTTCAATGTAAAATTCAACTTAAGTCATTGCATGTCCTGCTATATTTGTGTCAGATTTTGTTTCAGGTTTTATTTGCTGATTAGAATTACAATGCCATTTCCCTGTGTACACAGTGTCACTTTTTTGAGAGGAAGAAAACAGCTCTCAATTTAATTAAACCTGAAACCGTTTCACAGAGATCGTAGATTTGGAAATTGACCTGACCAATAGCTGTCTGAAATTTGTTTTCTTTGGATTGCTGAATATACTTGGTATTTCACAAAGTGCTAAATTTCAACTTTAAAAAAGCACCATGAAGTTAAAAATGGTACTTGCAAATATTCCTCCTTTTTTTTAGCAGAACACTGGTAGTTTTGTATTTGTAATAAGGTTTAAAAAAGCCACCTCTCTTTTTATAGTTAACGTTGTTCACCTTTGCCTTTATACCTAAGGTAACAGATGCAGAGTAACAAGTTTCACTACTGTGTGTGCTTCAGTTCTTTCACTTCTCGTGCTTTAGCAAAATGCAAAGGTTTGTCTGCATTTATCCTGTGCAAGTTGGAATGGTTTTCATCTCATCGAAAACACATACTAGGAATGTTCCATTAGTATTTGTTTTTGGAAAGTCCAGAGTTGATTTGATTTTTCTCAGAACCTCTTTTTTTTTTCTTTTTTTTTTCTTCCTAATCTACTTGACTCTGTCTCTTTTATAGCTTTTAGCATTTGGGAATATGTCTGATTTTTCTGATTTAAGTTTTAGCACAGAAGTCAAAAGTATATCGCACCCTCCCCATAAACTAATTAAAATCTACTGAGGAAAAGTGACCTTCAGCTGCTCTCACAAGTACTTTTTCTCTGTGCATGTGTCTCTTCTGTTTCCTCCGTCTTACAGCCTACAGCTCTAAAATATGAGTTTCAGCTCCTTTGTGTGTGGGTTTTTTTCTTTCTTCTCCTCTTTTCCAAAATGCCCGTGCAGGACTGGATTGCTAACAGACTGTTCCCATTCTGAAGTAGTATCCAGTAGTTCTCTTGGCTCACGTGCTGTTTTGGAGCAGTATCGAAATACTCTGGCAGTGTAGAAATGTGACTTTTTCAACTTTCTTTTCACTATGAACTTGGTGGGCAAATAGCCCGCTCCAGCCTTGCGGTGGGGCGAACTCATAGAAATTCAAAACTCCGGCAAACAGCTGTCCACAGCTGTCTTGTAAAACATGTATTTGTTTGGGTCGTCCGTTTCAGATGAGATTTCTGTCAGTTCTAGAAGTTAGCTCTTGCTGAATTGTAGAGATACACATTAAAGGGAGAGAGTCTGAAATTGTAACCTATCTGCATTTCTAATGACTGTGATTTAAATGAGGTATAATTTTGTTTTTCCTCTCTTCCACTGATTTGTTAATGAGGCACTGAAAAACCATACTGTTAATGTGCAGCCATGTTGAGAGTCGCATATCACTTTTGTCAAATTGTCAATTTGTTTTTAATTGTAGGTTTGTTGTGTTATTTTAAAGCGAGGTTTGGGGTTTTGCTTCTTTTTCTGTAATGTAATTGCAAGTTGGCCACTGTCATTTTAGCTAATGGGTTGTTTTTCTTCCCCTTGCCACATAGAGAGCAGAATGTCTGTGGAATGAATCAGGATTTGACTGGACAAGGAATGGGGAAGATATTGAACCCAATTAGCTCCAGCAGCCCTGCCCATCAGGCCATGTGCAGTGGGAACCCAGGTCAGGATATGACCATCAGTAGCAATATAAATTTTGCCATAAATGGCCCAAAGGAACAAATGGGCATGCCAGCGGGCAGGTTTGGTGGTTCAGGGGGAATGAACCATGTGTCAAGCATACAAGCATCCACTCCTCAGGGTAGTAACTATGCACTAAAAATGAATAGCCCCTCACAAAGCAGCCCCGGCATGAACCCAGGGCAGCCAAACTCTATGCTTTCCCCAAGGCATCGTGTGAGCCCTGGAGTGGCAGGAAGTCCTCGCATCCCACCCAGTCAGTTCTCCCCTGCAGGAAGCTTGCATTCACCCGTGGGAGTCTGCAGCAGCACAGGAAATAGCCATAACTACACCAACAGTTCCCTGAACGCACTTCAGGCCCTCAGCGAGGGCCATGGCGTTTCTCTAGGATCGTCGTTGGCTTCACCTGACCTAAAAATGGGAAATTTACAAAATTCCCCTGTGAATATGAATCCTCCCCAGCTAAGCAAGATGGGAAGCCTGGACTCTAAAGACTGCTTTGGACTATACGGGGAGCAATCGGAAGGTACAACTGGACAAGCAGAGAGCAGCTGCCATTCAGGAGAACAGAAAGAGAGTAGCGATAGCAACATGCCACCAGTTGTCAGTGGCGAGAGACCTGATGGACAGAATAAACTGCACGACGGAAAAAGCCAGACAAAGCTCTTACAATTGCTGACCACCAAATCGGATCAGATGGAGCCTTCGCCTTTGTCCAGTACCATGGGAGACGTTAGCAAGGACTCCACGGGAGGGTTGCCTGGGTCTGGTTCGGCACACGGAACCTCGCTCAAGGAGAAGCATAAAATTTTGCACAGACTATTGCAGGACAGTAGTTCTCCTGTAGATTTGGCCAAGCTCACGGCAGAGGCCACAGGCAAAGAACTGAACCAGGAGTCCACTAGCACAGCTCCTGGTTCAGAGGTGACTGTTAAACAGGAGCCAGCGAGTCCTAAGAAGAATAATAATGCACTACTTCGCTACTTGCTAGATAAAGATGATACTAAAGATATTGGTTTACCAGACATACCCCCAAAACTGGAACGGTTGGACAGTAAGACAGACCCTTCCGGTAGCACAAAGTTAATAGCTATGAGGACGGAAAAAGAAGAGATAAGCTTTGAGCCTAACGAACAGGTAAGCAAATCTTTGCATTACGTGTGAGTGAGATCCTGCCATCTTCATTTTTTCCAGACTTCCTCCAAGAGTAATTTCTTGACGCTTCAAGAGGCTGTTACCTGTCTTTTGAAATCCAGTCTTCACTCAGTTTTCCAGTTGGTGTTTCTAAGTTGCATGCATCACTCTGTCTAAATGAACGGACTCTGCCTGGGAGGGGATGGATAGCGTAGGGACTGAATGCTGGGGAACCTTTCCCAGGTGGTAGTCAGACAAAGAGAAAATACTTGTAATTGTTGGTTAATGTTAACTTACTGACAGTTTTTTCCGTCGGCTGTTGTTGAACCGCTAGATGTGGGCTAGATGGGCTCAAGGACAGGAGCTGTTTGAAAGGACTGATACCAACTTTTTACATTACTGGTCTTTGTGCTATACTTGATCTGCAAATTAAACCCAAGGCTTCTCTTGTTTCTGTGCCAGTTAGGGGGTTTTGTTGTTTTGGGTTTTTTTACTTTAAAAGTTTTTATCTTCAACCCCGAGTTCCTGTGGATAATTAATTGTTCAGTGCAGAGATTGTGTCTCCCTGTGCAGAGCATTGAATCCCTGTGCAAATCTGCATTGAATTTCACATTCAGTATTTCTCTGCATTCTGCACGATTGTTCATTACTGTGCTGCACAACATGCTAACAAACTGTATGTTGTTAGCACCCATGCTAAAAAGTGTTATTTCACTGGCCTTCATGCAGAATTCACTTTCAAAAAGCACCAGGTTCACATCGCCCAGAATGTTCCTGTTTTCAGAGCTTTGCAAGAAAAGAGATGCAGCAGAAACAATTTGCTACTTCAGTATTACTGTTTATTTTATTTATAAAACAGGTAATTACAATATCAATTTTAGTATAAGGCGTTTTCTGGGGAGTTTGTAACTAGCTGGAATTAATGATCCTTAGCTTTGTCCTGCACTATCAACTCTCCCAGCTGGTCATTAATCCCCAGGCAGTGCCCTGTGCATGAAGCCTTAGTTTTTAAATCATGATCAGATTATACACTGTAAATGTTTATGACTGTCATTCACAGCCATATCCTTCACTTTTAAAATACTGTGTATTTTTAATGTGCAGACTGGGTTTGAGCTTGTTTATTTTTGTGAATCTATTGTATTTTTATTATTGTGTGTATATAAATGCATCATTTTTTATATTTTCTATGTTGTATTTTGATGCTGAGGAGGGATAGACAACATTTTCTTAGTCCTAAATCACAGCATTGGAATTTTTTTTTTTTTACTTTGCCCTTTCAGCAGTCTCTAACCAGTAGACAGTTCTTTCAACAGTGGTTATAACCACAAAACGTAGAGGCTAAACATTGCCACTACAGTGTGGATGCAGCATTGTTAAAATCTCAGTTATCCAAGTGTCTCCTAAGGTTACTTCACTTCTGTTTCAACAGAATTTGACAGCTATTGCCATTACGTAGGAGCAATTGTGGTTTTTCAATCTTTCCCATGCTTTAGGGGGAAACTGAGCCAAATTACACTAATTTCTACAGGGATTAATCCTCAAGCCTGGATGTTAGTTTAGTTCTGAATGCAGCTACTATTTTGTAATGCCTGTAGGGAGGGCTTAGATTCTCTGTGAGAACTTATTCTTTGTTAGGCTAGAAAAACACGGATATCAAGAAATTCACAGCTAAACTGGCAAGAATAAATTATTGTAAAAATATCTAATTGCTTTCATTTCCAAGTTCACATCCTACACGTAGAAGTCAATGTCATTACCTCAGATAATACTGGTTTGAAGACAGACATCCTTCAGTCCTCAGTATTTGATACTGGACAAGAATGTAGAATTTGGTAGTCATCAAAAAAATTATGTCTAAGTAACTTAGTAGATCGAAATCATGGCCTTCAGATGGTTTGCTCCCCGAGAATTAAATTTCTATACTAATTAAAATATCCTCTTTCATGATCTCTGTGGAGTCGCTGAGAAATGGCTTAGCTTGTGAACCCATTCGCAAAGAGCAGCCTTTGTCCCCTCTAGAAGTTAGCTGTCTAGTACAAGGTCCAAGTCGTATGAGCTCCTTTTATCGTTGGTGGAACAGTAGAAAAATACTCCAAGATTGTTTTTATCCTACCCTAATGTGGGTAAGCTAAGCTGCTCTGTAGTGATGTTCCCATTGACTAGCCTAGACAGCTAGTTTATACTCCCTGCCTTACAGTTTCATGACTAAAGATAGGCAAGTTGCGTCTCACCCTAAATGTAAACATGTAACTGTAAGACTAACTTTAAAGAAAGAAACTTCATTGTCTACAAGCATTTCCAACCTCAAGCATTTGAAAGTCAGGTCCCCGATTTTAGGAACTTTGTAAAGTGAATAGTCTATTCGTTGTTTATTTTTAAGCTTTGCGTTGCTGAGGTCAGGGGAGGGATTTGAGGGAGGTTGGAGTACGGACTATGAAAGCGTTGTCTTTTCTTAAAATTTAAAGACAGAGAGAGGGCACCGGCGGTATAGGAAAGTCCAGGATTTGGGGCTGTTCAGAAAACCACGAAGCAGTGCAGGAGTTGTGATAAAGTGGTAAGGACTGAAGTGAGTGCTGAGGCTTCCTCAGCGCTGAGGTAAGGAGAAGCCAGTCCCGCAGCTGTGATGGAAGGCTGCTGGATAATGACAGAAGGGCTTTTGTTGCCCCCGTTGGTTGTAAATAGAGTTTTAAAACCTACTTAAAATGCAGTGGAACCTGGAGCTGAATAAACAGAAGTCCAACGTGGAGTAAGAGAGGAAATGGTAGGGAATATAAAATAATGTAAGCGTTTATCTAGCTGAAGGCCAGGCCCTTAAACAAATAACCACTTTACCCCAATTATAAAAATCACTGAAAATATTTAGCATCAAAAACTCTTCAGCTTTGGAAGACGGTCTCCCACAGGAAGTGCTCATTGCCTAAATTTAGATCAAAGCTGGAACTATTTAGTACAAGACTAGAACACAGATTCTTGTGCTAAATTCTTCCATCCTCCTGCGTCCTTCCCCCCTCCCTCTTCCTCCCGTATGTAAAAATTAGCCATGTGCTTGTATTACCTATTTTGCAGGTTTATTTAAAACTTCTCCTCCCCAAGGAATGTTGTATTTTTAAGTAATTAGTCACTGGAGTGTGCAGTTTCTCTGGAAACTGCGGCGGAGCAGCAGTGAGATGGCCTCTGCAAGGGGGATCGGGGTGTTGGGAGGCAGCAGAGCCATTACGTTTTCTCCTTTTACTTTTGGTGTGACTTTCTGAGCAGGAAATGCTTTGAAGTGCACCACTGTACTAAAAATAGCAGTCTTCTAGGTAGTGTGTTTAAACATATACTTCTGCAGAGAGCAGCAACTGACAGGAAGCCTTTCTCAAATGGCAGAGAATATTTCCAGCGACATCGTACCTTTTTCCCTTCCTTGGTGGGATGATGGTTATCAAGCTTTATTAGGTTGATTGCTATTCCAGTTAAGGCAGCTGTGGGGGAGAGGATGAAAGAGAGACCTGCTGGGGAGGCTCAGCGGAGCTTTTCCTACAGCACCAACAGTAGTAGAACTGTTGCTATCAAGCTCCACGAGTGCTCGTATCATTCTCCGCTATTAAAAAGGGAAGGCAGGGGAAACATGAATCCTGATTTGCTACAGATTTGTTTTATAGGGCATCCCTCAGCAGTAAGCCTATGTTTCTCCGCTGGCCGTGGAGCTGCCATGGTGGGACTTCATCCCGCACCCTCCTTCCCTGTGCCCCGCTGCTTGTGCTGTCCCTCAAAAAAACCCACGTTGTGCTTCTGGCAGGAGCCAGCACACGCTGCCGCTGGTCGTGCAGTGGTCGGCAGATGCTCACAGCTGACAAGGACCGGCTAACAGCCGGGGGGAAGGACAGTGAAAGCGTAGGGGGACCTCAGAGCAACGTCATGTGCTGAACAATGTCAGGTATTGCCTTGCTAAAGAAACATTTTGTTTAGCCCTGTTGTTTTGCACTGCAAACCTCTTCTATAAAATTGGGTGTGGATTATTGTATTTGTATTACAGATGAAGAAACCACGATGTAGGAATTTGAAGTAGCTTATTCTCTGAGAAAGCACTTGGCATAGTGTGGAATAAAATCCTTATCTCCGCAAGTGCACTCTCCTCTTTTTAAGCGAGTAGCCAATACAGACAGCCTGTTTGTCTGACAGGGACTTTGCAATCCCTCAGTCTCCACCAGTGCTATTCCAGAAATCACCTTAAACATGTAGCTTTTTGACCTAAAACTCAGAAACTGTTCTCGTGTTCCTCATACATTTTAGCGACTCTGCTGTCCTCTTGCTTTATGTGGAAATCAGTATCTTCCCAATACTAAAATATTTTCTTTACACATGTCCCTCTTCTTCCAAAAAATATTTCCTGATGTCCAGAATCCATTAAATTCATGAAGGACATTGGTTTCTTCTTGAAATTTTATCGAAACCTTAGAATGGGGTTTCCATTTTCTGAAAGAAATTGGAGTTCTGTTTCCAGAAGTCAGTAGTAGATTAACCTGATAATGTAACAGGATTTCTAGCCAATTGTGTTTGTTGCAGTTACCAGGGAGAAAAAAAACTATATTGATTCCAGTTCTGATTTACTTTTTCCTTCTTTTTATAATCCTTTAATTTATAGCCAGTTCGGAGCAGGGATCTGGGTTTGTTTACCTTTTATGGTCCAATGTTTTGCCCATGCTACAGAGGTAGCTATTGGGCTAGCTTGGGGTTTACGTAAGGCAGGTATAATTTCAAGTTGTGTCCCCGCCAAAAGACATCCTGTTGCAAGGAAAAAGTCCCAGATGCCTCTGTCATTCGTGGTTGTAAAGGAAATGTATACATGTATGAAATTTTGAATGCAGGGTCTCAGTGCAAGCCATGGGCATTGCCTGTGGTGGAAGAGAGATCTCCAGAGAATTTAGGATCTTATCCAGTCCTTCACATCCATGGAAGCTAGATTTTGACATAGCAACTTTTGTAAAACAGATTTCATGTTGAGGTGCAACTGCCTTTCAGTAGAGCTGAAAAAAATCTGTAAGCAATTAACACTTTAATCTGCCTTTCTCTACATGACAGTGATAAGTACTTTTTCAAATGCAAAAATATTTCTAAGCACAACTTGTCTTATGTTTTCTGGCACTTAGTGTCCCAGTTCTACGCAGACTGTTGTAATTGCTTTGCTTAGAGATAGTGAAAATATGTGCACAAGAACTTTCTTGTGATGCTTAGCACTTTATCAGGCTTTTTTTTATAAATTCATGACAAATAATTGTTTTACAGGGAGGTTAGGGTGTGCCTTCTATTTACATGAAGTTCAATTTAGACCATTAACAAAATAAATATGGAATATAAATAAAAGAAAAATACCATGAAACTAACCAAGTAAATATTTTAATGCTAGTTTCTGCACATATGGTGCCATTTGAGGGTGGGTCTGGAAAGACTTAGGCTAACATCATAGCTTGGTGTTAATTCTAAATCTATCTTGGAGCTTTTGCAGCAGTTGAGAACCCTCATCTCATCAAAAAATAAAGATGAAATACTTGATATTGATTATGTTAAGCAAAGAAAGGAAGGTTATGTATTTGTGTCACTGTAATACATCTGTTGTATTTGGCGTTTCTTTGCCACTTCCTGAGAGGAGTTAAAAGCATCTTGGGGAGTGCAGTTTTCTGACACATTTGGATCAATATGTTCTTCTCTGGCTTTGTTTTGGGTTTGTTTTGTTGTGGGTTTTTTACATCTGATGTTTAAACAACGAATTGCAGTAGCCAGAATGTTAAAAAATAACAAAAAGGAAGAAAAAAAGACACAAAGTCCCCCACAAAACCAAACACCAAAAAAAAATCCTGCAGCATGTAAAACTTCCCTTCACAGTTGTCTCAAATATGTTTAATGAAGACCATATGTCTTAATTCCCCCAAAGAGTATTGAATCATCCTTCTATAATTTATGAGTCTCCTCTACATCAGTCTCCTCTACTGGCTCTTGCAGTCGTCTCCTACCGATCTCCCAGTGCTCAAAACGCGCCTCCTGTAGACATCCCTCGGGAGTGCCTTTTTGAATCTGCTTATCACCTGATAATTATCACCTAATGATTTAGGCTTCCTTACAATCACATTTGATTCCTCCTGGCTCTACCTTTTCTGTTCGTGTCCTGTGTCCACCCAACCGCTTGTAAATGCCTGGAAGGCAGTGAGTCAGCAGGAGGGATTTGTCAAGAGCAGGTAATGTGGGACCAACCTGGTTTCCTTCTGCAAGAGGGCAGTGGGCTTTTTGGCAGAAGAGAAGCAGCGTACGTCGTGTGTCTTGGTTTGAGTAAGGCTCTTTGGCACTCTTACACATGGCATTCTCGTCAGCACATTAGAGATGCGTGGTCAAGACGAAACTGCTGTGAGTGGGTAGGAAGCTGTTTGGAAATCCTTACACCCAAAGTAGTTATTTAAGGATTCACTGTCAAAGCGGAGGTGCTGCAGGAGATCGTGCAGCATCTAGAGCTGCTCAGTGTTTGACCCGATGAGAGAATAGAGCGTATGCTCGGTGCAGCTGCGTGTGACACTTGAATGTCTGCAAATACACTGAAGGACAGAATTCAAATTCATCCGTAACCAGGAGATATGGAGGAAAAAAATCTTAGGAGAACATTCAAGATGAACAAATGCTAATTTTTACAATTAGTCCAGAATAGTGTCACAGATTTTTTTTTAAAAAGGGAGGGGACAGCTGGCTGGATAGGTCTTTTTCAGAGCTGCGTCTAGCTGTGATCATAGTGAGCACAAGATGAGTGAGATTCAGTAGTGTCGTGTAATTAAAAAAATCACAGACTTTTCTGGAATATGCCATCAGTGTGTACTATGTGTCGAGGTTTGGGTTTTTTTTGCTTTATTCAGCAGTTGTAAGGCTTCATCTTAAGTCTTCAGCAAAAGTGTGGATCAACGGCACTTCAGCAAAAGTGTGGATCAACTGAAGGCAGTCCACATGAGCAACAAGAGTAATGAGAGGTCTAGAAAACAGGTTATATGATGAATAAAATTCAACAAGTTGAGATTGCTTATTAACTTCAGCTTAAAACCCCAAAAGGCACGTATTTTCAAATACAGAAAAGGTTAGAAGAAGAAAGGGGAGCACAATTTGTTCTCCAAATTCAAAATACAACAGGAAGGCAGGGCTTAAATTTCAGTGAGGGAGATTCTGCACTGACACTGGGGAAAAAAACCTCTGATAGTAAGGATGGCAGAGTGCTGAAACCAGTTCCCCAGGGAAACTGTAGATTTTCTGTCACTGGATGTCTTTAACAAGAGGCTATATGAACTTCTGTAGGGAATAGCATACGCTGATTTTGCTTTGAGGCTTTACATTTCTTCCAGTCCTCTGATTCTGTGATTTCCTACCATTTCGCCAGTAACATCAGCCTCCAGATCACCCACATGCTGCCTTTTAACGGAGTAAACTCCTTCCTCTTTTGCACCATATATTCCGAGCTGTAAGACTAGGAGGTGTTTTGGAAGGAATAGAGTAATACCGTGTTTATCTGCAGTCAGTCGTCCAAAAAAGGTATGTAGAGATGTAACCTCGAGGCATCTTGGCTACCTGTGTATAAAATAGCTGGGCTTCCCAGGAGCAGGTTAGCTGTGGCAGCAGGGATTTAGTACGGACTAATGTGCAGTACTTCCTAACTAGGCTGAGCACGCCTCGGTAGGTAGATTAAAGCCATCTCAGGTATTTCTACATTATCCTGACATCGGCGGCATAAACTTGCTCTCAGTAAGTAACAAGTTCACAATGTGATGGTAGGACAAAAAAGGACAGGAAGAATTGTATTTCAGTTGTGTGCATGTTTGTGGTGTTATTTCTCGGTTCCCCATCCTTCACGTCTGGCTGCTCACTCTCTTGCCTCTCTTCCGTCATTGCATATTTCCTAATGAAGGCGCTGATTTTGAGTAGGTTTTTGTTATAAGTACTGTCATGAAAAGTTTCCTATGCAACTTGGTGGTAACTGAGACTGGACTGCCTGTTGGTAATTATTACCCGAAAGAGTTTTACCTTATTTAAGGTTGAGGATTGGAGAATATACTTGAAATAATTTTCAAACTTCAGTCAGAAAAAGATTTTGATTCTGAGGGTTTATAGACAGAGAAGCTGACCAAAAAAAAAATACTGGTGAACATCAACATTTTTAAGAAAAACATGCAGGTCAGTATTTATGTCAGTATACAATGAAGTTCATTTTTTTCTCATTTTTATTTCATGATAAGTTTCTACCAAATTGAATATAACTAGATTTCTCTTTTTTTTTTCTTACCGTGGAGAAATTACTTTCATGACTTTGGAAAGTTGTGTGCAAAACAAATTCCTACATCTAGTAACTAGTTGACAGGTTTTAATTTATAGAACTTCGTTGAGTATATATTTCATGCCAGTTAACTTATATGGAATTATTCCGTGTGAAGGTTTTGAATGTAACAAAGAAAATGCATATGGGGAATTGTTTTAGCCATGAAGCAACTTTTCCATCGTATGCTTTTAATCAAGTCATAAAGAGACTAGAAATATGACTGTGCTGAAAGGAATATTGGTTATACCTACATAAAGCCCCATCTTCATCACTGTCAGATCTCTTCCCCTGCCAAATTATCCCTGCGGTCTGCACCGATCACCAAGCGCACAGGGAGAATTTCCCCTTTGCCCAAGGTACAGATCATGTGGCTGTTTGTACGTCCCGATGCTGGGGTTTTGAAGCCACGCCGTGCTCCCCAAATGCAAGGCAGAGGAGCCCTGGGAAGCCTGCACAGTCCCCTTCGGACAACTTTGTGAGCTTCCTCCACACTGGGCTTCTTGCAGGAAGCATCTGAAGCCGATGCAGGCGTAACGGTTGCGGGCTGCCAGGCTTGGCGTGAGCAGGGTGCCGACAGCAGGCGAGCAGCGACGTGTACTGTGGGTTTGTGTTTTCTTTATTGCAGCCAGGCAGTGAATTGGATAACTTGGAGGAGATTCTGGATGACCTGCAGAACAGCCAGTTACCGCAGCTTTTCCCAGATAGCCGCCCAGGCGCACCAGCGGGCTCGGTCGACAAGCAAGCCATCATCAATGACCTCATGCAGCTCACCAGTGACAGCAGCCCTGGCGCGGCTGTGGCCACCCAGAAACCAGCAATGAGGATTTCACAGAGCAGTGAGTCTGCCTTCGGCGCGCGTGTAGGCAAAGCTTACAAACCCCCAAAGCGGCAGTCGTGGAGCCCCTGGGTCGGCCGGGGAGGAACCGGGCAGCTCCTGGTCCTGGTCTGGTCTTGCGTGATGACATAGCGCCATCTGTGGTCATCCCATTTTGAAACACATGTGGACGTTAATGTCTAATTCACACAGCACCCTGGACGTCCGTGCCCTCTGAGGATTTTTAAGGGGTACCCCTAAAATAAATGAAATGTTCCCTGCTGTGGTTATAGGTGATGCTGCTGTCGCAGGGGCTCTGGCGTGGAGAGCACCACGTGCATTTTGTTGTGATGCAGATTGCTCCTTTCCAGCAGCTCCTTCAGGAAAAGGGATGACAGAGGCTTTTCTAAGTGTGAAGGAGAGTCATCTTCTAAAACCACAAGATTAATAGAAAGACCTATGATTAAGAGGAATGACCAAGTTTAATTTGAAGTTGTGGCTTTTAATTGAGTCACTTCCAGCTGACAGTGTTCCTTAACTTTATTAATTAACTTACAGATGAGTGTTGAAGTGTTGGTCTGCCACCATAGAATAATGGAAAGTGAGAAAGACAAGAGTCTTATCAGTTACGAATGTTGAAGAAAATAGCATAAAAAGCCACTGCTTCATTTTTTTTCTCCTGTTGGCTAGGATGGCAGCATCTGTTTACTTCCTTAAATGTACACTGGTGGGTTTTTTATAAAACATAGGGCACAGATAATATTTTTAGCCATTCTGATGATATTAAATAAGACTCTGCCACTTTCAAATAAATTATTATTTAGAAATGTTTAAATAAATATTAATAATAAATATTAGT